ATATCCATACATTAAATAATATACATCGCCCACACAGAATTAATACAGCATATTGGCACGTATGTAATATATACTCCAGAATATATTACATACTATAAATGACTAAATCTAAGTATTCCTGGTCAAGGTCAGTCTCTACTCACTTCAAATTATGTCTTATGATTTTGTTTATTATTTTATACGTATTAGGGCACAGTGATATTGATGTATAATGTTTTTGATATCGCCAAGGGTAAAAGCGATTAACGAATCGGCATAATTTAAATGTTTCAGCAATAGTAGTTATGAATATTATGTTTTTCTGGTAAATACAAATGTAAGAAATATAAAAATTAAAATCTAATATTCTGGCACTAGGCCCTAGACGTCTAGGTTGCCTAGGACTTAGTTCGCCCCTGAACGGTAGATTGAAAGTAGTAGAAAAGATTTAAAAAAATAAAAGCATAAATATTATCTTTTTCTACTTTTTTGATAAAGAAGATTTTGTATACTTATTTTAACACTGTAACTTTAAATAATTGATGGATTCGACCATTACTTGATGGAAATTCATTTTATGTAACAATAAAACACTGAAAACTTTATTTTTAAAACTTCTACAAAATTTATTTTAAACTCTTATACAGCAGTTTCGGCTGATTGCTTTTCTCAAGTGATCTATTTTTGGCATGCGTTTACACTTTATAGTCTTTAATGAATAGTTGAGGGAAATGTTTGTCTCAAGTTGGTTATTCAGAAATATATCTGTGTTTTTTAAATTTGTTGATTTCCATAGATTCTAACAAATATAGCTTAAGGCCTTTATTTTGAATGTGAAGAATGTTAAATTCGTCATTAAAAGAATGATTAGGATCTACATACGCACTTCACCTTCTAGATCATAATCATTCTTGTAATACCGAATTTAACATTCTTCACATTCAAAATAAAGGCCTTAAGCTATCTTTGTTAGAATCTATGGAAATCAACAAATTAAAAAACACAGATATAATTCTAAATGACCAACTTGAGACAAACAGTTCTCTCCTCCTCAACCTATTTCATTAAGGACTATAAAGTGTAAACGCATGCCAAAAATAGATCACTTGAGAAAGGCAATCAGCCGAAACAGCTGTAGTGATAAGAGTTTAAAATAAATTTTGTGGAAGTTTTCAGTATTTTACTGTAACTTTAACTTTTGTACACTGTTTGTTATCAATATAAATGAGTAGTGACCGATATTAAAAACTTATTTACTCCGTACAAAGAGACTCTTTAATAGCTACAGTCTTTACTTTACAAATCTGATTCGAATTATATCCGAAAAGTAATAGTAAATATGTAAAATTAAAATTTTTAATGAAAAATTAAAGTTAACCCATTACTTATGAGGTCAAAAAAAGCAGCCTTCACGAAGACTGAAGTACTAATCTAATGAGACCACCGCAATCGGGCATACCCTGAGTAATGATTAGTTAAGTAATAATCTAATTCTTTAATCACCCGTTCAATATGATTTTGTCAAATCGGTCCCTTTAAGACCAACTATTCTCAGTAATTCTATAAATATTGAGGGCAGATCTAAAGATAAAGAAACTTTACTTTACTTAAACTTGTTAGATACACTAGGAGTTTAATACAAATGTGACGTATTTCTAGTGCAGATAAAACCACATGATAAATAGGGAAATGCTATCTTTGCTGGCAATGAAAGCAAGAAACACTCAAAGTGAGAGAGATAAAAACCAGTCAGCTGAGGGAACCTTTCAACAATGTTGAGTTTAAATCCACCATTTATGTATATATAACGAAAAATAATACGACTCCAAACATTGAGGATCTGAGCACAAACTTAATTACGCAATTTGGAAGAAAAACACTATAATGCTTCTCCGGATGATAAACAGCAAGCTGTATTCAAACTATGCAGATAACCAAAGTGTACAGACAAGCCTAAGTTGTTGCATTGCTTAAATTTGCCAAAATCTCCAATTAACACAAAAACTGTCGGCAATATCTTTATTTTGTCAGCTATTCAAAATACTTACAAATGGTCCTTTATATAATATTACCGTTAATAGAGGAAGAACTCAAATTGAAATGTTAAGACGCGAATATCATGTACGTCACAAATACTATATCTTACCCAATACAGCGCAGACAGCTACGTAAGATATCATAGAGATATTATAAAGATAAATAGAAGATAAAATATTCAGAAGTATGTAATATTGGTAAACTGGTATATTCTTCTTATTAACATTAAGCATTCTTCCCTCTTTTGTGCACTACTACCAATTTTTACATAAAAATATCTATTTTTGCACTTAAATATTTATTTTAAGATAACTCATCCATAATTATATGTAGTACACAGATAAAACCAGAAATAAAATAATAAAGAAGCTATATACAAGATATCGTAAAACAATGGATTAACTAAAAGTTCTTATTAATCGTATTCTTAAATAAAACTTAAAAAGACATACTCATGTTAACAAAATACATTAGTAAATTTTCGCATATGAAAAAATACATCCAACTTGGTAATGAAATCCTTTTGTATTTATAAAGCTATTTTTAGAATAGCACGTACCTACCAAAACAGGTATTTGGTATTATACATATCTATTACATATTGTCATGATGATCGCCAACATTCGTAACGGATAGGCACATCAAGAAGAAGAAGAAGATTACATATTGTAAGGCGTATGAATGTTAAGAAAAATAAGGAGTCCGTATGAACGTTTTAAAATATATAAAATGTATATATCAAGAACGCTGGCTTAATTGCATAGTTGCCAAACTATCAGAGCTTACTTAAACCGATATACTTATGGTTCCAATATACAGTGAAAAAGATCTGAACGACCCCTATAATATATACACGTGAACTAAGCGAAATACATTTATGATACAGGGGTACTTATGAGCTCCAAAATTTTATTAAGAATTATGAAACTATACATCTTAACGAATCGACAGAGCCAATATTATGGAATGGACAAGTGGGCTCCGTATATCGGTGTCCACTTGACCACGGAGCTCATTTGAACCTGAATTTTAACATGGGCGGAGTTCACTTTATGCCGTAAATATATATATATATATATATTATATATATATATATATATATATATATATATATTATATATATATATAATATAATAACTAGAATTGCATCAAATGAAAAATGTAAATTTAATTTTAAAGTTTAACTTGCTGTCATTAATTTTGTCAATTTGCATTTTGACAACTTGTCTCAGGCTACGTCACAAGAACATGCGCGTTGACTTATCTTGTTTTGTTATAGTATTATGGTCATAACGGTTGATTAGTCATCGAGCAATAAGACAAAAAAAGGAATCTAATCCTTATGAAAAGGAGACCAAAAAAGTGGCTCTGATGGCGAAATATCCGAAATGCGAATGCGCAAATTTAAATTTTCCGACACTTATCAACAGTAGCTATATCATATTTTTCAGAATGTGTCTTAGACGTGAAAGTTTTAATTAATTATTAACGATAATAGTCTAAAATGCAACACAATTGTTAAAAAACTTCAATATAAATAAGATTTCATGTGACATTTGGGACAAACAATAACATAACCCAACTCAATTTGATGTCAAACAAGGAGAGAGACTCTCTTTCCTTGTTTAATGTGGCCTCTAAAGATCGCACTTCCTGTCTAACAATATGTTTGCCCCCACTACCTTTACATTCCCTCTTTTGTCTTTTTGCTCGATGTGATTAGTATACATAGAAATTTTAAGTAAACAGTTGGTCAGTCCGAAATAAATATTGTAAATAAATCATATATAAATTAGAGTAGTTGACTCGACTTTGCTAAGTATCAAGACAATTACTCTACACACACAAACACACACACTCACTACATTAATAAACTTATCTTGATTGAGACTGGCTGAATGACAATTGTCCAAGCCAAAACCATCGAGCAATAAGACAAAGAGGGAATCTAATCGTTATGAAAAGGAGACCAAAAAAGTGGCCTCTGATGGCGGACATATCCGGAAATGCAAATGCGCCAAATTTAAATTTCATGACACTTGACAATAATCATACAGTGGTGTAGGGGTTCTAATTTATCTATTTATTTATTTTATATTACATAATATTTTATATTATATATTTATCTATTTATTATTAAAATTATTTATTAAAAAACTTTTTTTAACACTAGAACACAATAAAGTTTTAATTAATTAATAACGATAATAGTCTAAAATGTTAAACAATTTGTTAAAAAACTTCAATAGAAAATATAAATAAGCTTTCATGTGACAGTTTTGACAAACAATAACATAACCAAAATAAATTTGATTTTATGAACAAGAAAAGAGACTGTCTTTCCTGTTTAAAGTGGCCTCTCAAAATAGCACTTTCTGTCTATCAATATGTTTACCCCCACTACCTTTACATTCCCTCTTTTGTCTTATTGCTCGATGGCCAAAACACACAAAACAAAAAGTGTTCTAGTTTTTAGGGATAAGTGTAAAACTGTAATAAATATACTTATAATGACTTTAGTAAATTTCTAAGTGTTATAAATAGAACTTTTGATAATAAATAAAGACAATAGGTACATTACATTAATAAAATATACTACACTAAACAAAAACTTATTTTAGTAGTTTTTTTCCTCTCCTGTTAAAAATTTTCTCAAATATTCGTTATCACTTTTGCTGTTTTGTTTTACTTACAGAAATCTACAGAATAAGCAACTGTACAAATTCAATTAACATTAAACGACCACATGGATTTGTTTTTATTAATTTTATTATTTTATAAAAATATAGCTAGACTTTTCTGATGTAATATATATCTGTGTATGTATATCTAGAAAATAGTATAAAATCTATAGAATTTAAACAAATAAGTATGTTCAAAAAGTAAACATACTTAGGTATGGGCATAAGTGAATTACAATGTTTCTTTAATAGCATGTGTCTTAATGTCAATCGCGTTAATATTTTTAAATAAATAAAAATTACCTGTCTCTCAATAGAAACGTTCGACGGCCTTTTTCCACCTCCCGGAAACCCTGCTTAGTACATTCTGCCTCTTGCACTTCGATTCTCTTAGCGCTTTTAAATGGATAAATACATAGCTTCTTTACATTTCCAACTTTCTTCCATTCCGTTGCCATTTTTAGTCGCTTTCTAATTTGGTCCTAATCAGACAAAATTCATTTACGTCTATAACTAAAGACAATTCATATTGATTGACCTCTTCACAACTTAGTAGATATCAGCTTAGTCAAATACGGATTTGCGATAAGTATACGTTCAATATTTATTAAATCAGTAATTATACATCCATGTTTATTGTTTTTGCTGCAAATTGTTAATAACAAGGATAATAACATGGATTTCTCTGATTACATGGCACTATACAATATTTTCAGGGATTTACTAAGCCTGTAAATAGATACCGAATATTTAAAATATAAATAATAATCAATATCAGTGTCTGTTTTTATAAACCTAACATTTAGTAAAATTTAAAATATTTTTAATAATATAAGCTGTTAATTATTTATCAATAGAAATTATTCTTTTTATGTAAGGCTGTCCAAAAATTTGCAAAAAAAAACTTGATACTTGTGGCAACTAGTGCAAAGCAAGCTTTACTGTTTTTATTTTCTTTATTTAATTTAACGAAACGAAAGGCAGAGGAAGAATATAGAATACTAAGAGGAAAGGGAAGAAAATACATCTCAGAAAGAAAAGGGAACACAGAAAAAGAACTTCAAAAAATGAAAGAATTAAATAAACCATCAGAAACCAGAAAATTCTACCAAAAACTTAGCAAAAGGAAAAAAGAATTTAAACCAAGAACAATGATATGCAGAGACAAAGAAGGATATATAGTAACTCAACAGAGTGAAATACTACAAAGATGGACAGAATTCTTCAAACAAAAGTTTGAAAAAAACGAAGTTCCACTATATGATGGAATTATACTGGATCAAACAGATATCAGAGAAACAACCCCCCTTCAGTAGCTGAAATGCAAGAAGCAGTTACCAGACGGAAACACAACAAGTCACCTGGATTAGACAACGTTAGCGCAGAATTAATAAAGAACGGTGGAGACTCCCTATTGAATACGATACACAAACTAATAGTGAACAGAATGGAATAATAAACAACTGCCACAAGACTGGAATCCCGGACTTATTATCCCACTACATAAAAAGGGAGATCAGCTTCAATGTAAAAACTACCGGGCAATAACGCTACTAACTGTGGCATATAAAATACTGTCAAATATTGTGTATGACCTAATGAGTTTCAGCATGCAGAAGTCCACAATAGATCAGATCTTCGTCTTGAGGCAAATCTTGGAAAAGACCAGTAAATTTAATATAGACACACATCATCTTTTCATTGATTTTGAGAGTGTCTATAATAGCGTCCATCGAGAATTTCTGATTCATGTACTGAAAGAGTTTAATATTTCAACCCAACTCATTGATATAGTAAAATAAGCATTTAATTAAAAATCCTTTGTAATAGGATATATATTTAAGGCCCAAACGGGCTAAGTTAAAAAGACATAACGTTTTCGGAAACCATGTTCCATCATCAGTGTCTAGGAGTACATGAATGTAGCCACCAAGATTAAATATATGGGTAATAAACCCGTTAACAGATGTTTAATTACATTTAGTTTTAAAAATACGTTATAATAATTTAAGATTATAGAGTTACCGATGGATTAGGTAACATGGCGACATATGACTCCACGTTGAGTTGTCGTCCTGAGACGGTATGTTTCGAGGACTGTATTGAGTGCAACTCTAGTTGCACTCATACAGTCATATGTCGCCATGTTACCTAATCCATCGGTAACTCTATAATCTTAATTATTATAACGTATTTTTAAAACTAAATGTAATTAAACATCTGTAATCTGGTTTTTACCATATATTTATCTTGATGGCTACATTATGTACTCCTAGACATGATGATGAACATGATTTCCGAAAACGATATGTCTTTTTACCTTAGCCGTTTGGGCCTTAAATATATACTATTACAAAGGATTTTTAATTAAATTTTTAATACATGTATACAGCCAACTAAGGAACGTAGATTCTTGTAAAATAAGTATTAAAGTACAAAGTAAAATTCGAATTCAAAACGCACTAACAGATACAATCCATGTGAAAACGAGCCTACTACAGGGAGATGTCTTATCTGTATTCTATTCAACATAACATTAGAGAAAATAATTATAGAGGTCAAAGTCAATACCAGAGGAACAATAATAACAAAAAGTGTACAAATATTGGCATTTACAGATGATGTTGATATCATAGGTAGAAGCGAAAGAGAGATGATAGAAGCATTTAATGCGATACAAAGAGCGGCAAAAAAACAGTGTCCTAAACATTAACGAAATAAAAACCATATATATGAAGGCCAGTAACTCGACAGTCCAAAGAAACCTACAGAAAACCAAATGCAAAATATACAAGACCCTGATAAAACCGGTCCTTGTATATGGATCAGTGACATAGACACTGTCGGAAAGCGGTGAGAACCTATTAGATACGTTTGAACTAAAAATCCTTAGACACATATATACGGGGGTAAAGGAAATAACATTAAGATCGATCGGCCATGTTAAACAGATGTTGGAGAATAAAACACCAAAACATATATGAGGCAAATACCAGTAGGGAGAAGGTCAAAGGGAAGACCCAAACTTAGATATATGGAACAAGTGGAACAAGCTCTGAAAAACACTTAAAATACCAATTGGAAAAACAAAGCACGGAACAGAACAGAATGGAGGAAAAACCTAGAACAAGCCAGGATACAGAAACGGTTGTCGAGCTACTGATGATGATGATGACGATTTTAATTTTAATAGTCTTCAAAGCCTCAATAATATACACATAGTTTGAAAAGTTAGTGCTCAACTGTTCTATTCACGATGATATTTTTTTGTCAAATTTTGTCAAAAGTTTGTTAAATAAAATTACAGCTTTTTTGGTTTTTTTATTTTAACTAAATGCCCATTTAGGATGTTTCATGGTGTAAATATTTAAAAAATTTTATTCCCGTAAACCGTAAAGTTATTGTGAAACCGTGATTTGTAATTTAATTTCTGAATTGGATTGTCCAATAATTATCGCTTTTGTTAACAGCCATTCTTAGCCAGTCTTACGGATATGGAATAGGTTTCTGGAGCCAAATTCGATGAATACACAATAGAGCTCGCTCTGGTAAACCTCAAGTTACCAATCAGCAACAGAGTAGATAAATATATCAGAATTTCCATTCGGAGAAATTCTTCTATGTCTGTACCAGCCCTATAAAGATACTTGATCCATGCTACAGGAGTCATAATATCGTTGGCTACAATAAGAACAAGAATTTTTGGAGCAGTTTGATCAGTTGTCGATCCATAAGAGTTCCTCAGCTACAACCTAGATGTTTTGCACTGCCTCCAACAGTTTTAAAATGTTGTGCTTTCTTCAGACAAAAAAATGTGTTTTAAATATAGCAATAGCTGCACAACTAGCGCTTGTCCGTCCCATAATTATTATTTTCTCAGATGGCAGTATTATGTTTTGGGCAGGTATTATGGTAGATGTAAGCACGAAATTGATGTTTATTGACGAGACTCTAACAGGGCAAAAACTACATCACACGGATTTTAGAACTTCATGTGACGTTACGGCGAGGAACTGTGGGTGAGAATTTTGTATTTATGGATGATAACGCCCGCCCACAGAGGACATAGGACTCAAGCGATTAATGACTACCTTGAGACAGAAGGTATTCGCAGTTTGGAGAAGCCTGTGATGTCTTCAGACATAACATCCATTGAACATGCATGGGATACTTTATGCCCGGAGGAATTCTCCTAGAACCCATCATGAATTTACAATTGAGTGTAGAGAAGAATTGAAGAATCTATCACAGGAAATGATTGATCGATTTGTTAGCAGGATTAGAGCTCAAACCAAGGCTTGCATAGATGACCGTAGTGAAAACAGAATTGTTAAATACATTTTAATTAGAAATAATTTTTTTAGGTTTTAATTTTTGATTTATTAGAAAAAAATAGTATCTCGTTTAAAACAGAAAATATCTGTTAAAAAGCGAACTAAACCAAAGTTTTGCAGAACACTAAAAAAATCATGTTTTTGTTTTTAAAAGATGAGAAAAGGGGTCTATTTAGGACAAAAATGGTAGAAAAAATGTTTTGGAATATGAAAGGAAGTTCTGATACAATTTTAAAAAAGTGGCCAGTATTATTAGATACACTTTTACTGAAATACTTAAAAAGACGCGAGGAAAGAAGTTTGAGAATAAAAAGACCTGTTGGAGGTCAAACGAAGTTCAAGAAAAAATTTAACCAACAGAATATAACCACATCGATCGCAACAAACCTGTGACCACCTCATCAAAACAGAATATAACCCAGATTGGCCCAGATTAGGCTGGAGATTAAAAGATACAAGCAAATCAATGGCTTAAGACCACCTCCTGTCTACCGAGGCGGTGGATCATTCTGGTCTAAATTTTAAAATCCTAACAAAGCAAAGAACATCTAAGCTTTCTCACCTACTGGTAAACTATCAAATAATTAACTCAGACTATCAGAAGGCCAAGACCTTTAAAACACACTTTTAAAATATATTCAAAAACATGAGCACCTTCTCATAGCCCCCTGTGGATCAACAAATATTGGAGAATTTCAATTCCAATTTATCAGGGACTGAAAAAAAATTCCAGGAACTGCGTGAAACAATTTCCGCGAGTGTCACCCACTACCTATTGAAAATAGTCAAAGGCTCACTTAAACTCCGTTAGTTTCCAATCTCTTGAAAGGTAGTCAATACAATTTTGCTTCCTAAAAAGGGCAAATCTCGTATTAATCCTAACTCTTACTACTCCGATTTCTCTACTAAAGGTTTTGACCAAAGTTCTTGAAAGAATCCTCAAGAAAAAGACTAGTGGACTTTACCAGAGAATATAATGTAATCCCTTATTCCATTTCGTCTTCAGAGAAGGTCACTTCACCAGAACTGCATTAAATGAAATCACTTACACATCACCCAAAAGTTAAACAATAAAAACTTTTTATTAGTATTTTTTTTAATCTACAGAAAGCCTTTGATTGAGTTTGATATGCCGGATTGGTGATGAAACTACTGGATATTGGTTTA